TACAGTGCCCCCAATTGTGGACAGGGTGCTGTCATGTGGTATATTACACATAAAATGCTATTTTATTGGAAGCAACGAAAACGCAAGAACCTATATTGCATCCTGTTGAGTTAATTGAGCCATGCAAGAGAAGATACAATGCAGTTGGCAGCAAAGGTGTTTCTAAGAAATGCCAGACGACCTTGAAGTAATATGTAAAGTCCATATTTATGATATGCTTTCTGTTGTAACTGTCGGTGGGAGATCTCTGAAATTGGAAGGACGTTGGAACGTACGGAATTGAAACGAAATTTTGCGTGGTTTGCTGACCGATGAGCAACTTTTCATTATGCGCTGATACTCATTCGGAGTTTACTGAAGTATTTTCAATTCATGCGACATTTGCTGTGAATTGCGGGATCAGGCGATACTCGAACTGTATTGTTTACCACATGACGGTGGAATTTTGTTGTACCCATGCAACTACTGATTGTTTTCATCTTTAGCCCTAAAAATAGTTCATAAATGTTTTCTTTCTATTTTTGGTAATTTTTATCGATTTATGGGTGCTAGAAGTAATAGTAAACTTGATTTGATTTTGGTGATTCAATTCAAGTCTAGGGACCTAAGCTAGAGTTAAGCTTAAACAGTGCTACAGAGATAGTACTAGGTTCAGACTCCGGATCGGTACTCCATGGGAATCCCCGAAGAAATACAAAACTGACAAAACTTTTCACTTCTCTGGGGACTATAATCAGGTAGGAGGTACAGTGTGAAAGGATAGAAGTAATGACCTGCATGCCAATTGGCTCCTACAAGTCATTGCATGGGCCGAAAACCCAACCAGACGCTAACAGGATTCTGGTCGTCGAAAAAGTTACAAAACTATCAAACTGGGTTCAATGGTATGGAGGATAAAGAGCAATTTTCACAACAATGAATAGGGACCCTTTCAATGAAGGGAATCTGAGGATGAACGTTCGTGTCACCGAAACTTGCCAATATTTTTCATTTTGGAAACGGATTATTTCTAGGCATATAATTATTTTGAGTAGATTGGGCCCCGAATTCAATAGTTTCCTTAAACCTTGATGTATGCGCTATTTCGATTCACAGTGGCGTTAGTAATAAGGAATACATTCTGAGAGAAAAGTGAGAAATTATTTGAAGGAAGAATTTAGATTATTACTGGTTAGTTATTTCTAACTTAACTCTTTCTAGGCATACCCGTCTTTTGCTGCCTTCTTCAACCGACAGTTGAAAAAGGAGGTCCGACCAATTAGTGCTAGTTCCTTNGTGAGTCTTCCTTTAGTTTTCTCAAGTTGATGTCGATTTTCACATTTTACTTGATTTCATTAGGTGCAGACCCACCATGAAGTCTTGTATTGGATTCAAAATACACTGAACTTTCGAAAAAATTGTTTTGCAAAAAGAAGTCTCAATTACTCTGAACGAATTCTAAGAAATATCGCCTTGCTTTATGCAATTTGAATTAATTTTTTTCTTTTTTAGGTATCCCCAGCGGACGGAGTAGTGTTGCATTATGGAAAGGTAGAAGATGGAAAAATTGAATATGTGAAAGGCCATGACTACGAAGTCGCTTCGTTCCTTGGAGATGTCGAAATGACACAGAGGGTCAGTGAACCATCCTCAGTCCATCTTACTGATATCCTTATTAAATATCTTTAACTATCTTCTCAAAATATCTTTTTACATATATATTGTTGTGTGTTACGTATCCGTCCTTTCCTCAGATTCGATACCCCTCTATATCCTCCATGAGTGTTCCATCCCATTCACTTTGCCCCAGTGTTGCGGCAGACTACCTTCCTATTCTTTTAACCCCAGCTTTTCTGATGATATCCTGGGTTTGACCCTTTTCAGCCTTTTGTATGTTTTTGTACCCTTTTAGCCAAGACGGAGCAGTTACATGGCCGTGACATACGCTTTTGCTATTAAGATCAGATATTTTAATCATACATTTCGACATTCAAGACGTCATTCAGTTCCGCTAATTATTACTCTCAAAAGATTTTTTGTTTAGGATGAACTCGCCCTCTACCAAGTGGTCATCTACCTGGCTCCGGGTAACTATCACGCGTTTCATTCTCCTGCACGATGGGTAGCGAAAATGTGTCGTCATGTACCGGGTATTTCTTTATCCAATATCCTATTTAATCAGCATTCGTCACCACTCTTCTTTATCGTCGATTTTTAGGTCTGCTACTTTCCGTCCGTCCATCACTCCTTAGTCATGTACCCCATCTTTTCTGCTTAAATGAACGTGTAGTGTTGAATGGCACATGGAAGCATGGTTTTTTCTCGCTCTCGGCCGTCGCAGCAACGAATGTCGGCGATATTGTCATCGACGCGGTATGAACTTTTTATTTGGCTTGTTTACACAGTAATGGATTACTCACTAGTCGTATGTACTATCGTTTTTATTGTATTTCTCAAGGAGCCATCATTGCGAACGAATTTGGTCCGACGGAAGAAAGATAAGATGCTTCATACAGAGGTGGATATGCACAGCGCTTATCTTCCAGGAGATCGAGTCGGTGAATTCCGTTTAGGATCCACTGTCGTGCTGGTAAGTACAGCGATAACCACTTCGTCATCGTTTTTTTTTTCTGTCGCAATCTTTAATTGTTATTGCCTTGTCAATATCAGGCCACTCGAAGTGATTGGCAGATCGCTGTCAATAATACCCGCAAACAAAACAAAATATTTGGGGGTTTGTCAGCTGGGGAAAGGAAAAAGCTGTGGAACATCATATCATCCAAAGTACTTGTTCCTGGGTAGCTTACCAAATAGTGGTTGTAGGAAAGGTCATAAAAACGGAACGTGCACCTTTGAAACGTGATTTAAGGTGGGTCTTGGAACTCAGGCCAAATGCCTTTTCGATTACGAGTGAATTTTGGGTTTTCAAAGAGTTTTTCCGGATTCGGGGCAAGTTCTTTTCGCTAAAAATTTGGATGAGGGCACAGATTCTGAGATTTTGAGGATTTGCTGGAAGCCTGAAAAGGGTTTTCCTTGGGTTTAGTCTTGCGACCACGCATGTAGTAATGCGCTACTTGAATTTGCCCATACCACCTCAGCCCTTGGATACCTTCTAATAATCTTTTCTGGGGCAGAGGTAGTGTGGATCACTAGGCAAGTGGCGCACTGTCTCACACAAATGGTCACGGGTTCGAACCCAGGGACAATATTCGCCTAGGTACATCAAACCTCCCATGATTCTGGGGTCGTTTATTGGTACCAGGCTCGTCTGGGAGGATAGCACTGGTTGTACATCGGCTGACCACAGCAAGTCATTGTATAGGCCTCATACGCAATCAATCCGCCACTAGGATTCTGAATGGAAGTCGAATGCAGAGCGCATCACTCAAACGGGATTGGTTAACGGCCAACGACCTAATCATTGCCCTTCAATCTTTTTCGTATGTTCTCAAAGTATGTGATCCAGGCTTTGATGTTTATGTATTCAGGTATTCCAAGCCCCGCCCACAATCCGATTCGCCATCAAAGCCGGTGATCCGTTACGTTACGGTCAAAGTCTAGTCGTTGACGGTGTTTAAACGGATATTTAGGAAACTTTGTTAATAGTTTGTTAAAATCCATTCACTTCTCAATAGTAGTTAACTAGTCATTTTCATGTGTATCTGTTTTTTTTCGTGATCGCTTCTTCCTCATCTCTAATCGGCCCAAATTTTGAGTGCCAGATTTCTACTTGAACAGCATCTGGACGTACGATAAGGCTGATTTGAATTGCTTGGTAATCGTCCAGTTCGTCATTTACAAGAGGCGCTCATCTGACTTAATCTCCCCCTACTTAACCTCGTTTATACTCCATTCTAAAACGACGGCTATATATCTGCAAACTGTCACAACAGGCGCAATGTGACGTCTACGGGCAGTGGGTCATCTGATTTGTGTAACTGTTTATGCATGTATCGTAGTGACAAACGCCAGTACCTATGTCAGTTTGCAGATGTCGCTCGATGTCGCGCGAAAACGTAGTCTAAACGCCGGTGTTACCGTGTATAGTCTATCGCGGGTCCCATATGTCCATGTTTTATCATTACAAGTCTTAGTATTTGTGTTGTTGACATATGTGGCGCTTGTTATTAATGTTATTGTTGACGATGGAAGAAGTTTGGACGAGTTGTAGTGCAAAGCTCTCACAACAGTTCGTCCCCAACCGATCTTGATGTAGCGAATCGCGCTTAGGGGGTTAACGGTGTTTATTTTTGGTTTTGTTTAGAGCCTTCGCATAGGCACCTTATTGCATTTCGTTAACAGTTTTAGATGGAGATTTCATATTTACCGTGTCTCATTCATTCGCGCTTTGATGTTCGACCAGTTGGCACAAATTTCGTGCCACGATCACTATGTACAGTTATGTGTGTATGAGCATGCTCAGGCCATATCATTGCCCTTGTTTATTACTTTTTTGTGAGATAGATAAAATAAAAATCATTAATAATTGTTCACTGAAGATAAAAGACGTGGAAACAGGNAATTCACGATAAAAATGGTTTCTGAGAAGTCTTTCTCAGATGAGTCTGTGGCGTCTCAGTATACGGTGCCTTATTAAGAAGAGGATCACATGCAGCGATGGAGTCAGCATGAGTCGGGTTGCTTCTGATCTCAATATCAGCCGTCAATATGTCCAGAAGATTGTGAAGAGCGACTTGAAGCTAATAACTTCTTGACTCTGTCAAGCACAGCTTCTTTCGGAGCAGTCCGAACAAAGTCTGCAGATGAAATTTCAAAAAAATTCCTTCAGACTCTAAGGTCGCGGCGCATCTCTGACGTGGTTTGGATTGATAAGAAAATTCTTACGATAGAACCATGTCGAAATCGTCAAAACAGAGACACTTGTGGTCAAAAGCTGACAGCAGATCCCCAAAACTCGTCTTGCGCCCAGTAGATTTCCACTCTCAAATGAGTGGGCCAAGCCGAAATCACTAAGCAAAGCATTATTGTTTTCATCGACAAAAACATGGGAATTATTTCCGAGGTCTTCTAAAAAATAGCTTCAATGGACGCCTGTTGCACTGGGTCACTGGACGCTTCCCTGACCGATCGTCCTTCAGCAGGATCCGGCTCGATTGCATGCCCTTAAGTTCGACGAAAGCTCTACTAGATGCGCACTCCTCTGGATGCTGGAGCGGGAGCATTTTTCCTTCCTCCTCACCGAACGTCAATGCAGTGGATTCTCTGTGCAGGCTTTTGGAAAGCATGCGCTCCATCGAAGAAGGCCTCAGGCAAGAACACAAAGGGTGGTGGGTGGTGCAAATTTTGCGTTCGCGGACCGTCACTGTGCGTGAGTATACGTAACATCGACGTCGACAACCTACGGAGCAGTGTTGATTCAGCCATCGAGCGGCTGGAGGCAAATATTGAACATCTCCTATACGTCATACGACTTCTTGGTGATCATATATGTAGCTCTACTCTGCTCTTTGATGAAGAAAGTTTGTCTGCGTGGTCTTCATCTTTGAAAATACGCACATAAGTGTGGCGCCCTAGGCTTCTAAGCCCTCTGCAGCTACCACCAGATCGGTCGACCTGCAATCGTTTTCTTCAGACGACGTATTGGAAGGACATGAAATTCGAATATTTTGCCTCCTGAAATGTCAAAGCTATGAATCATATTTTAATGAATGAGCCCAACAGTCCAAACATAGGGTCGTATGTTGTTATATATGAGCCTTAATCACCGATCATAATGAAATTCTTTCCTACAGCACCGTGTATATATTGCTCCGAAACTGTTAGAAGGTGTTCATCTCAATAAAACTTCTGTTCGTGACGCGGTTCGTAATATGACGACCATGGCATAGGAGACATCCAGTGTCGACAAACTAAATCAGAAGCCATCGTCCGTCAGCAACCAGCACAAATCAACGTCGTCTCAATTCGACCACAGATCTTCCAAGGTGTCCGGTACTGTTCGCCAACAGATTTGAACCACAAAGCGACAGCTTCGCACAGCTCTCGGAAACCGAACGTGAACACGTCCACAAATCCCAAATCTCGCAACACTCTGATGACGACCTTCTGAACGAATATGAACGTCACTCGCCTACTCACGACGCTACCTACCGCACATACTTTCGATTCGAACGACTTTGGAAACAATGGCAAATCCTCATATCCGCTAATCCAGAAGAAGAAATACAACAAAATTACGTCAGCAAACATGGAGACTTCCAAGATATTCTCACAGAGGCTGTTGTAGTTCACATTCTTACCAGACACTCAACATGGAACGCCTGCTTTTCGCTTTCATCCTTGTTGAAACTGCTCTGGCTTGCTCACCAGTGCTAGAATCCAAAGTGCAAGGGAAAGGACACAATATCGTGCACGTTTCTTCAGTCACCAACCAGGTGACTGAAGGAATACATATACGATGGAACAACGTGCAAATCACCTTGATTAGGACAAGCACTCCAGAACTGCCTAACTTTTAAGCTACTCCATCACAGTCGACAATACAGTAGCAACAGTCGAGCCCTCATCACCCTCATCAACTTATCTTACATTCACCGGGGCAAGTTCAATGCAAAAGCAGGGACGAGGCAAAACTGTTACCCAACTGCTCATTCGCCAAACACACATGCACCTGCACACTACAAGCCTACACAGTGAAATAAATGCACGTGTCAAACGAAACGATTTCGCCATTCCTAAGAATGAATCCAGAAGACTTCCTGTTACGACAAGCCAAGTTGCTATAATAAACGAACAATGATCAGTTACCAAAGCGAAAACCACCATAGGCTGCGCGCTGATCATGCAAATGTCAGCGCAAGGACTCGTAATGGCTGTGAATAGAAACAACAACTCCTGTCTAGTAGAAATGGAAGTGGATGTTACTCATGCACACAAGGAGCGGCAACGAAAGTTTCCTGCAAGTCTTCAACCCTGCACAAATTCATTGTGAAAATACTATTCGATTGGTGATATGCACTCCAAATGGACACGAATCCGCTGTCGCTTTCCAATTCTGCACAATCAATATCAATTGTACGATCCGATGCCCCGGAGGAATTTCAACAGCAACACTTCAAGGAAATTTGGCATTCATCAACGATGATGTATCTGTATCTTTTTCAGAAATCATTTCTCTATCTGATTCCACCACTCATAATAGTGGCTTTGACATTAGTCCTTTATCGACTTTCTTCTACAATATTTTCAAAGCTGTCCCCAAAATCTTCGAACATTTTACCGACATCAAGATAATAATCGCATTGATATGCATAATCAGTACACCGATCAACTTTTATAGGTTGTATTTGAAATATAAGTCTAAATCACTTCTTTACCGAGAAACATCTTTCTCATCAAAAACGGAGTGATTACATGTCACATCTTATCTTGATATTTCACTTCTCTTTTTTTGGAAGAGTGTATTAGAAGGACATGAAATTTGAATATTTTGCCTCCTAACATGTTAAAGCTACGAATCATATTTTAATGAATGAGCCAACAGTCCAAACATAGGGTCGTATGTTGTTGTATATGAGCCTTAATCACCGGTCATAATGAAATTCCTCCCTACAGCATCGTGTATATATTGCTCCGAAATTGTTAGAAGGTGTTCATCTCAATAAAACTTCTGTTTGTGACGCGGTTCGTAATAGACGAATCACCTAGCGGCTGGTATTTCGTCATGGCGGTACGGCATCACTAGATAGTTAACAGCGCTAGCGCTTCAGCTCACCAGAATCTATCCAGAGTGAGATACATAGATCGCCATAGGTCGCCATTGACTGTCGCGGAGCACTCTCTACCAGATTATTTTCTCAAGCTAATGTCGCACTCCAATGTTGGACCTCGCTTGTGTATTAGCTGACAACCAGTTAGATGGGTTTTCACCGGAGGGTGGTCACCCGATTCTCATCCACCGACGACGATCATCACTCACACCTGCGAAATGTTGTCATAGGAAGCCTTCCGCTGTGCTTGTAAATAAAGGTGGTCGGCTGATTTTTGCTACCTTGAACACTCATCTCAAAACATTTGAAGAGCACCGCACCTACCGCAGAAGCCTCCGCATCACCGTGGGCATTGGAGGAATTTCGAACAAACAAAAACCAACAAATAAACAAGGAAAATGAAAAGAAGTAA